TAAGTTACTTTTATCTGAAACATACGCGCTGTTTAAAAGAATAAGAGTTATATGTATATATATCCAAGTAATACACTCCAGTAGCCAACTAACAAGAGAAATTAAGTCACGATGGATTCATATTATGACAAAATTAACAAAGCATTAGCCAAGTATATGAAAATGACAGAAAATTGACCTGCTGGCTCATCAAACCTTTCCCATCAGCTATTTCAGAATTAAATACAATAACCTTCAATTCTCCTCACCTACCAGTAGCATTTACAGAGGCAAGTAGCATAGAACATAGAACAGTACAGGCCCTTCAGCCCATGATGTTGTGCCGACCTATTATCCTACTAAGATCAAACTACCCTGCATACCCTACATTTTACTTCCCTCCATGTGCCTATGCAAGAGTCGCTTAAAAGTCTCTAAAGTATCTGACTCCACTACCACTGCTGGCAGCGCATTCCACACGCCCACCACTCTCTGTGTAAAGAACCTACCTCTGACATCTCGCCTATACCTTCCTCCAATCACCTTAAAATTATGCCTCCTTGTAATAGTCATTTCCACTCTGGGAAAAAGTCTCTGACTATCCACTCTATCTATGCCTCTCATCATCTTGTACACCTCTATCAAATCACCTCTCATCTGTCTTCACTCCAACGAGAAAAGCCCTAGCTCCCTCAACCTTTTCTCATAAGACCTGCCCTCCAGTCCAGGCAGCATCTTGGTAAATCTCTTCTGCACCCTCTCTAAAGCTTCCACATCCTTCCTATAATGAGGTGTCTAGAACTGAACACAATATTCCAATTGTGATCTAACCAGGGTTTTATAGAGCTGCAGCATAACCTCGCGGCTCTTAAACTCAAATCCCCTGCCAATAAAAGGCAACACACCGTATGTCTTCTTTACAACCCTATCAACTTGGGTAGCAACTTTGAGCGACATGGACCCCAAGATCCCTCTGTTCCTCCACACTGCCAAGAATCCTGCCATTAACCCTGGATTCTGCATTCAAATTCGACCTTCCAAAATGAATCACTTCACACTTTTCCAGGTTGAATTCCATCTGCCACTTCTTTGTCCAGCTCTGCATCCTGTCAATGTCCCATGGCAACCTACAACAGCCCTCCACGCTGTCCACAACTCCACCAACCTTCGTGTCATTAGCAAACTTACTAACCCACCCTTCCACTTCCTCATCCAAGTCATTTATAAAGATCACAAAGTGCAGAGGTCCCAGAACAGATCCCTGCGGAACACCACTGGTCACAGGCAAACAGATACAAAAAACAAATTCTGGAAAATTTCTCTGCACCTCCTCCCAGCTATCAAAGGCAATCAAAATTAGTTGCAGAATATCATGAGCCACATCACTAAGTTCTGTTCACAGGGAGGTTACAAACAGAGGCATAGCAATTGGTAAACGGAATAGAGAGAAGTTAAGGATTTTTTCTAATCCAAAAGATTTAGGAATCTGGAAGTTTCTGCTTGTAAGGGTGGTAGAGCCAAAAACTGTCAAGGCACTCAAACAACATTTGAATGTAAGCTTGAGTCTTCCCAACTTACTCTGCCTTGAATCAAAATTGAAAAGGTGAAATTGGACTGGATAGCTCTTTTATATTTTGGTCAGCATGGGCGTTTTGGTGAAATGGCCTCATTCTGTGACATACATTTTTCTACGTTTCTTTCATTCATCATCTTTTGTTTATATTAACAGTAGCCTGAACCAGAAACACATTTTTCAATGCTTCTAACAAATCCTCATATACAGTATGAGCCATCAACCTTTAAGTGTTATGGAGTCATATAGCACGGAAACCAAACATTTGGTCCAACCAGTCCATGCCAAACATAATTCCAAACTAAACCAGTCTTACCTGCCTGCTCCTGGCCCATATCTCTCCAAACCCTTCCTATTCATGTACTTATCCAAATATTTTTTTAAATGTTGTAATTGTGCCTGCATCCACCACTTCCTCAGGAAGTTCATTTCACACACAAACCACCCTCTGTGCAAAAAATTTGCCTCTAATGTCTTTTTTAAATCTCTCTCCTCTCACCTTAAAGATGTGGCCCCTAGTCTTGAATTACCCATTCTAGGGAAAAGACAACTACCACCAACTCTATCTATACCTCTCATTATTTTAGTTTCACTTTTTTGTTCACCCATGGGACATTAGTGGTGCTGGCTGGCCAGCATTTATTACTTGTCCCTCAGGGCCCTTGAGAAGCTGGTGGAGAACTGCTGCAGAGCATATGCTGTGGTAGACCTACATTGCCATAAGGGAGGGATTTTGACCCAGCTACACTGTATGTTACAAGTCTGATCGGGGAATGGCTTGCAGGGGTCCTTGCTGGTCGTGGTGTTCCCATGTATCTCTTGGCCTTATCCTTCTAGACAGAAGTGGTTGTGGGTTTGTCAATGGTCTTACAGAAATAAAAAGATTCCTGACCTAGGTATAGATATTTTCTGTAGAGATAAAAAAAACTACAGATGCTGGAATCCAGGTAGAATCCAGGAAAGGAGCTTTTCATCCAAATGCTGCCTGGCTTGCTGTGTTCTTCCAGCCTCCTGTTTGTTTACATAGATACTTTCTATATCTCCCTGTTCACTGATGTCATTACACACCTTTGGAGCTAGTGGGACTTGAACCTAGGCCTTGAAGCTCAGCAGGTTGGTACACTCTCACTGCACCACAAGAGCCTTACCTGACCTAGGACTATGTTTATAAGTGTAGTACCATCTAATTTATTTAATTTAAATTGACTATTCACTAGGCTATACCCTTCTTACTTTAATAATACTTAACAAATCTCCCTCAACTCTGAACTTTTTAAAGCAAAAAGATGTAGCCCCAAGCACATTCCTGTAACTACCAATATTGATTGGGATAAATTTATGTTATAATAGATAAGTTTATGTATAAAATGACTGTCCTGTGTTGATATGAAACTAAAGTACTGGTTATATCTTTTTTTAAAAGAACGAGGCCTGAAAAGAACTCAGCAAGTGTTAGTTAACTTGAGGAATGAACAAAGCATTGGCTTTGCTGTTAGAAGTACAAATTGGAGATGTGATAGAAACAGCGGGAAATGACAGAATACATACACTAATGTAATCAAAATAAAGGATACAGTGTCAATCCTTCATCAAGATGTATCATACCGCTGGTGGGAGCATTAATGACTTTGCCATCTTTACAGATCACCAAAGCAGAAATTCAGATGATAAGTATAAAATTCACCAGGTGACTAGATGGAGTTGTATTGACAACATAATGTTATACAACTAGTACAGACAAACAAAGCATTTGCAATGAAGTAGTGCCTTTACTGCACCAGTACTTCTTTACAAACAGGATTTCTGGTTATCCTTTAACCAAAGACTTCGACAGAAGCAATCTGGAAAAAAGCTACGTAAAACTGTTCATGTTAAATAAAACAAATCTAAAGATATAAATACAAATTTTATTAAGAATCTAGCCTTTGATTTCTTTGCAGTGAAAGAAAATGAAAACCTAATTGGGAACTGTGTCCTGAGTTGAAAAGGTAGTTTTACAGTTGATGGGCTCATATTACTTAAGGAATTAACATCTATTTCCTTATAGACTGCCTATCATAATTCTAGCATCCAAGAATTCTGAACTACCAATTTTGTTCCATAATAATAGAATTCAAATTTCATAGCAATATGACAACAACTCCTTCCTTAGGTCTAGGCTTATGTGATGAAATCCCATTTGAATTTAGGTGTGTAATATCTCTTCAGACTTCTTTATATACATTTGACAACTTTACCAAAACTTTTCCAGCCAAATCTAGAGAATCTTCATAAAAACCAAAAGAACTGCAGATCCTGTAAATTAGAATCAAAAACAGAAATTTCTGGAAAAGCTCAGCAGGTCTGGCAATTCTGAGGAAGGGTCACTGGACCCAGAACATTAACTCTGATTTCTCCTCACAGATGCTGTCAGACCTTCTGAACCTTTCCAGCAATTTCTGTTTTTGTTGTAGAAAATCTTCATCCTTGGTACCAAAGAATAAGAATAACTTAAAGAAGAAGTTTCCTCAAATCCTTGCCCCTGCTATTTTGCCACACTTAACCAATTCCATCACTTCATCTAACCCTTCCATGCTATTCCCATTTCATTTGATCCCTCTTAAGTGAACACTCCATTCCATCCCTCATACAATTTCCTCAGTCAGAAAATCATTGTTTTTGGGCTTCTCTTCCACTCCACTGCTTTTTGTTTTCTACCAATATTCACGGCCAGCTACCGCTGGCAATTGGCAGTCATATGTGCATCATGTATTCCAGTCCTCTGGATGTCTCACGTGCCTCTGCATGTGCTAAGCATTACCCACCAACAGACATATCCCGTAAACTGACCAAACAGTCCAGAAACACAATAAGTATTATTAAAGATGTTAATGTTAACTGTATATTTTAATTGATTCCCTAATCAGTATCATTTGAAACTTTAACCTTATTTTTAATATCTTATTGACATGTGAAATTGTTAAAGATACGATGTCAGTGGTTATTTCAAACATTATTATCGAGTAAACAGCTTCCCACTTGCTGTCCTCACAAAAAGGATGAAAAAAAAAGCCCCAGCCTTGTTCTAGCCTTAATCTAACAAAATACAGCTTAGTAATGAAGGAGCAAATTTTCCTTCATGAACCTTACATAGAATGGAACATAGATACAGACCAATGAATTTAGAATTTGAGGCTGTGCAGAGTTTACCTTTTTAAGGAGACAATTAATCCTTTAAAGCTATCCCAAAGGCTATATACTGTATTTGTGATTAAACTATATGATCCTTTACAGATTTTGTTTAATAAAATATCTATTTGTATTCTATGCACATGAAGGGTTAAAACAAAAAGCAAGGTGTTCAAATCCAATTGCTCACTAAAGACAAGGTCAAAATAACAAATACCCATGACTCCCACAATAACAGAATAGCTGTGATGCCAGGTGCATATTGAGCTTATGCTTTTACCTTTGGGGTTCTGATGTGCTCCATCCCTTGCCTGAAAGGAACCAAGAAGCCACCCGGCGGGGAGCCCAAAAGGCCCTGGTTTCGATAGGAAGATTGTGCCTCCTTCCCCTGGAGGATGCAGGGCCAGTGTCTGAGCTGCTCCTGTGTTAACAGATGGATGCTCCTGATGCTGCAGCTGTCATCTCTCCCTCTGCAACCCAGTACACGCTCACCCAGCAACCACTGCGTATCTGCTCCCTCAGGGTCCTAATGCCTGCCTGTTCCAAACACCACCTGAAAGTCTCATTTGATCCCTACTGTTACCGCTCCTGTAAAATAGGAATCGAACTACCGGTTGGCTTTGATTTGCTTCATTGCAGTTTAAAGATTTTTACTCCAAATGCTAATTTTGTTGCATTTCTGTTCGTTTGAATAACCACCACCATCCTCATAGATTAACAGAAACATACAGCGTGGAAACAGACCCTTCAGACCAACCAGTCCATGTGGAACATCACCCCAAACTAAACTAGTCTCACCTGCTTGCTCCTGGCTCATATCTTTCCAAACCTTTCCTATTCCTGTATCCATCCAAATGCCTTTTAAACGTTGTAATTGTACCCACATCCACCACTTCCACAGGAAGCTCATGACACACGCAAACCACCCTCTGCATAAAAAATTTGCCTTGTCTTTTGTAAATCTCACTTCTGTCAACTTAAAGATGTACCCCCTTGTCTTGAAATTCTCCATCTTAGGGGAAAAGACAACTACCATCAACTCTATCTATACCTCTCATTATTTTATAAACTTCTGTCAGGTCACTTCTCAACCTCCTACGCTCCAGTGGAAAAAGTCACAGACTATTCAGCCAATCTTTATAACTCAAACCTTTCATACCCAACAACATCCTGGTAAATCTCTTCTGAGCCCTCTCCAGCTTGATAATATCCTTCCTATAACTGGACGACCAGAACTGGACACAGTATTCCAGAAGAGGCCTCACCAATGTCCTGTACAACTTCAACATAAAATCCCAAGTCCTATACGCAAAGGATTGAGCAATGAAGGCAAGCATGCCAAATGCCTTTTTAACCACCAGGTCTATATGTGACATAAACTTTAAAAAATTATGTACTTTCACCCTTAGGTCCTTCTGTTCTACAACACTACCCAAGACCCTACCATTAATTGTATAAGACCTTGTCCTTGTTAGTTGCACCAAAATGCAATACCTTGCATTTATCCAGATTGAGCTCCTTTTGCCATTTTTCAGCCCATTGACCCATTTGATCAAGATCCCTTTGTCATCTTAGAAAACCTTCTTCACTGTCTACTATGCCACCAATTTTGGTCTCATCCGCAAACTTACTAATCATGCCTTCTATATTCTTATCCAAATCATTTATATAAATGACAAACAAAAGAGGACCCAGAACTGATCCCTGTGAAACACCACTGGTCACAGGCCTCTGGTCTGAAAAACAATCCTCCACCATTAGTCTCTGTCTCCTGGCATTAAGCCAATTTTGTATCCAATTGACAAGCTCACCCTGAATCCTATGTGATCTCACTTTATTAATTAGCCTACCACGCAGAACCTTGTCAAAGGCTTTACTAAAATCCAAATAAGCAACGTCTACTGCTCTGCCATCATCAATCTTTTTGACAGGAGCAATCAATGGACAGGCTGTGTCAGGTCAAGGAGGAGGGGATGAGAGGCAAGGTTGGTCATGGGATGAGGCCGGGGGCGGGGAGATTTTGAAACTGGTAAAGTCCACATTGAGACCATTGGGTTGTAGGCTCTGAAGGCGGAATATGAGGTGCTGCTCCTTCACTTTCTGGGTGGTGTCATTATGACACTGGAGGAGGCCCAGGATGGAGAATTATGTACTTGAAACCCTAGGTCTCTCTGTTTTACAACACTACCCAAGGCCCAATTTTAATTTTATAAGTCTGGCCTTTGTTTGTTTTACCAAAATGCAACACCTCATATTTATTTAAATTAAACTCCACCTGACATTATTCAGCCCATTGACCTATTTGAATATATTTACATATTGGAGTACTCCTTACTGAGGCATAACATTGACCTCCTTGCTAAGTCCCTACACCATACTGTGTCAGGGCATAACATGGATTTTATGGCAATTAACAAGCAGGCTCGGACTACCATGATTGGAATTGTGTTCTTTTTCTGACATTCTGTACAGATTACCTGCTCAAGCATCTGGCATGGACATCGACTTGGGTTCAGTTCTGGTGGTATTACATCAAATGCAGAGACGACGTGGAACGAGAGAGCAGTTACAGTGTAATCAATAAGCCCAGCAAGAACAACAACCTCCGGTGGCTGCCGCACAGCCTGTTAAGGGAAAAGCACCATTGAGAGGCTTTGTTGTCATTTTCTACACATCTTGGAAAAATAGTGCAGGCACCCGTTAGCGGTGCTCTGGGCTATTATCACCAAACTGTGTCATTTGTTGGAGCAGGACTTGGCAATCCCATCCTCAAGCCGTCAAACTCAAGGCTGCCCTGAATTTGTTGCAAGGAGAAACTGAAAACCTGTGTAGCATCTCGCAATTGTTGACTCACAAGTGTATCCAGGGTGTAAATGACAGCATTTTTTCCAGAGCACTTTTTTTCATATCCTTGCCCCATGACGAAGAGGGTCAGGCAGTTCGGACAGTGGGATTCTCCATCATCACTGGCTTCCCCCAAGTGCAGATCGCAATAGACAGTACACACATTGCTTTGTGAGCTGCCTTATCACTAAAATGCAGATTTTGTCACTGGCAAATATTTCCACTCCATTAATATTCCATTATATGTGATCATCAATGCCAGATTTTGGAGATGACAATGGCCTAGTGGTATTCTCGCTAGACTATTAATCCAGAGACGCAGGTAATGTGCTGGGATCTGAGTTTGAATTCTACCAAGGCACAAAGTGGAACTTGAATTCAATAAAAATCTAGAAAAAAAGACAAACGGTGACCATGAAACCATTACTAATTGTTTGAGAAGCCCATCTGGTTCCCTAATGCCTTTTAGGGTAGAAAATCTGCTATTCTTACCTGAACTGGCCTACATGTGATTCCAAACCCATAGCAATGTGGTTATCTCTTAGCTGCCCTCTGGGCATTTAGGGATGGGCAATACATGCTGCACTAGCCAACAACATCCACATCGTATGAATAAATTGTTTACAAAACCTGTGTTGGATATCCTGGACCCCGCCATGATGCTTACATGTTAGCGAACTCATAGGTTCCTGCTTCCTTCCAAAGTTGTTGAACTATACAGCGGTTGCTTCTGGGAGATCATGGCTATGCCCTCAAAACATGGCTTTATGAAACCCTCAGACTGATTCTTTAACGAAGATGTAACCCTGTTCCTGTTTTGACTAGGGTCGTAATGGAACAGACCATATACTTTCTTAACGTGAGGTTTCGATACTGACTAAATATTTTGTTTTCCATCTGATTATGCACTTGATATAATCAGGTGATTCCCACTTCAAGCTTTTGCACATTTCATGTCGACTGACCGTTACAGGAAAAAAAAACAACAGATACTAACATCTTGTTATAAGCAGAATAGTGTGCTATTCTGCCTCCAGTGTGCTAGCACAGTCTCAGCTGCCTGAGGAGAAAGGGTGTTTGAATATAACATCAGATCTGACACCAAGATCATGGTTTAGAGATCTGTGGTGTTTCCTGCCCTCCTATATGGCTCTGACATATGGACTGTCTACAGCAGACACTTCAAGCCCTGGAGCAGTACCATCAATGCTGCCTGCAAAAGATCTTGCAAATTTACTGGGAAGACAGACACACCAATAGCAGCATCCTCGACCGGGCGAACATCCCCAGCATCGACGCACTGACCACCCTTAATTGCCTACGAGATGAAACTCCCAGAGCAGATGGTCTACTCCCAGCTTTGAAATGGCAAGTGAGCCACAGTGGGACAGAGGAAGCATTCCCACAGACACTTAGGAATTGGTAGCCCAAGACCATCCAAGGTGGAGGAGGAGCATCTGGAAGGCATCGAGTACCTCGAGACTTGCTGTCAGGAAAAACCAGAAGCCAGGCAAAAATAGAGTAAGGAGCGCAGTACTACACCAATGCCACACTCACACCATACCACAATTACCTTCTGCCCCAAGTGTAACAGAGCCTGTGGAAGCCACATCAGTCTGTACAGCCACCTATGGACTCACCCTGAGAGTGGAAAGTGAGTCATCCTTGTCTGCGAGGGACCACCATTGATGAAAGCATAGGGATATCACATCTAAATGTTGTGCAGTGAAGTCTCTCTTGATAGCCAGCAAGTTCAGAGGAATCCCAACGAACTCTTTTTGATCCTTGCACCATCCCTTTGCTTTCAACATTTCTGAGAGAACATAGACCTGAAATGATTGAGTATCGTCTTGGACATGCTAGAGGTAATATTCTGCACAGCTTCTCTTAGCAGGACAATTCACTTTGAAGGTGAGTGGACATAGAACATAGAACACAGAACAGTACAGCACAGTACAGGCCCTTTGGCCCACAATGTTGTGCTGACCTATTATCCTACTAAGATCAATCTACCCTGCATACCCTACATTTTACTATCCTCCATGTGCCTATCCAAGAGTTGCTTAAAAGTCTCTAAAGTATCTGAATCCACTACCCCTGCCGGCAGTGCATTCCACGCACCCACCACTCTCTGTGTGAAGAACCTACCTCTGACATCTCCCCTATACCTTCCTCCAATCACCTTAAAATTATGCCCCCTCATAATAGTCATTTCCGCCCTGGGAAAATGTTTCTGACCATCCACTCTATCTATACCTCTCATCATCTTGTAAACCTCTATCAAGTCACCTCTCATCCTTCTTCGCTCCAATGAAAAAAGCCCTAGCTCCCTCAACCTTTCCTCATAAGACCTGCCCTCCAGTCCAGGCAGCATCCTGGTAAATCTCCTCTGCACCCTTTCTAAAGCTTCCACATCTTCCCTGTAATGAGGTGACCAGAACTGAGCACAATATTCCAATTGTGGTCTAACCAGAGTTTTATAGAGCTAAATGTGTGTAGCCAATTGTACAACTCCCAGCACGGAAT